TTAGACTCCAATAATCAAGACAGGCTTACAGCACTGAAAGCAGTAGCAAACTTTGGAGCTCCCGTTGAAGTTTTTGACTCGGAAGGTAAGTGTCTCCAGAGGGTTTGAAGGAAATACTTCATGACACAGGCAGTCAAGATTTAATGTCACAGTAGCACAGACTAACATAGCCATTCACTACAGGAACATCTTGACTGGCCATGCTTCAGTGGAATAATAAAGCATGTCTTTGGTGTTGATTTCATTTGAGGGGGATTACTCCTTTGAGGAGAGAAGACTAACCAATAAATAGCAAAACCCCAGAGCATAGTACTCAATTTATTGCACAAGATCAAATACAAGTATGTCCATGTTGTCCTTAGTAAGTTATTTTTCTTACCACACAGAAGCTGAAGTGTTCCAGAGGAAACTTGATGAGACCACCAAACTGCTCAGAGAGCTCCAGGAAGCCCAGAATGAGCGTTTGAGCACCAGACCCCCTCCCAACATGATCTGTCTCTTGGGTCCCTCATACAGAGAAATGCATCTTGGTATGTTGTACCTCTGGTAGGAGAATAAGGGTGCTTAAAGGGAAAATCTCTGAGTAGTGATACCACAATAAAGTAACACTGAAGTGAATACCATGGACAGTTTATTTTTTGCCACTTATATATTTATTGGGCTTTTTTTTTTTTTTTAAGTTATCTAAAGGAACCACATTTCAGTACCTTGAACTGTCTTTATGTTGATTTTTCTTTCCAGCTGAACAAGTGACCAATAACCTTAAAGAACTTGCACAGCAAGTAACTCCGGGTGATATTGTAAGCATGTATGGAGTCCGAAAAGCAATGGGGATTTCCATCCCCTCCCCGGAGGTTGGAAACACCTTTGTAGATTTAACAGAAGGTACGTGCCCTGTGTCTCCGGGAGAGCGGAGGGCTAAGTGTGAGTAAAAGTAAACATTGGTCTTCCCCCTCCAAGTAACATCTGAAAGGTTTTGTCTCTGCTGTTAACATATAAACTATTTAGTTTTTTTTCCATCTTGTCTAAGGAATAAAGATTTCACACATTTGCCAAAAAAAAAAAAAAAGCCACAGTGATGCACCTAGTCTTTAACCTGGAACGTAGTAAAGAAGGGCTGTCAACAGTCACCCTTTTTTTACCTTCACATACCTTTTCTAATTAAAAGGAAAAAAGTACTGAATGAAGGGGGTTTTTTTCTTTCAGATTTTGAAGAACCTAAAAAGACTGATGTTACTGAGTGTGGACCTGATGGGATTTGAAGCTAACTGGTATTTGATTATATATTATGTATATATTTTTTTCATTCTTAACTTGGAAATGCTTTTTCAGAAGATATTAAATATTTGTAAATTGTGTTTTTAATTAAACTTTGGAGCAATTAATTTTAATGTTGCAGAGATTGGACTTCTATTAGGTAATAAAGCTGAACCTGGGACTGTGAGCTGTATTGTGCATATCAGCTAAGTCACCCCTTCACCTTTCCCTGGGGCTGAATCTGAGGATGAAATGATAGAGAAAAGCTCAAAAAATAAAACAGCCTTTTTATGACCATCCATTGAAAGAAGTTCCCCAAATAACTGAAATCCCTCATTTTGCCACATTGCTGTACTTCTCATTAAGGAAATTATAACCAAATGGTTCCTGACTTACCAGATTTCACCTTGATGATTTATTCAAAAAGTGGCCTTGTGAGGAATGAATGATTTTGACCTGTTGCCATACTGAGCAGAAAGTGGGTGGGAGTGGACCTGGGCAAAGTTCTTGCAGAGCAGTGATAGTGCTGCTTCCTTATGTTTCACAGGCAGGACCATGACTGAGAAACTCTTCTTTAAAATCCCCATCCAATGAGATTTTCCATTGTTATGCCATGAAAACAAATACACTTAAAATAACTTTAGAATTTACTAGTGTGTCCCCTGTATACCTGTTGGGAATGATGTCCTTATGTAGAAGGATTAGGGGCTTCCCACCACCACAAAAACAAAACAAAACAAACAGAACATATCAGGAGTTTCATAGCACTAACTAACTTGTCTAGTGTTCCTTTTTGGTTTGTTTTTGCCATTTGTCAGAGGGTTATTTGGAACTACAGTAAAAGGATAAGCCAAATAAGATAACAAACTAAATCATCCATGAATATGTAAGGAAATCACCAAGCTTAAAGGAAAGTTTACGTTTCTGTTTACTGTTTCTCACAGGTTACCTATGCCTCTGCCGTACGCCCTAAACTAATACTCATCTACTTTTACCTGAAATGCAAAGGTCAAGTGCCCGAGCAGTCTGATTACTTAAGTAGGAGACGATGATGTGGTCCTCTTCTATAACCAGGCACTAGACTGTAGCCTAGTTCAGTGAACAAATTAAGCTTAAGACCCTACTCAGACTGTATGGAGCCCTTCTATAAAACATCCAGGCAGGAAGCTATTTTATTATTTTCTTGACTTTGAAAACTAACACTTAACAAGTAGGGTGAAGGAAAATTGAATCTCTCAAGAGAGTTAAGATGACCTAATCTTTCAAAAACATACTTGAAATCATATGCCAGGAGAATTAAAGAATCAGTTCAAATATGTATTTATCAAGTCTTTTTAGAGTTTGTCTCTCAAACATAATTCAGGCAGTAACCGACTCAAACTTTAGATCTACTTAGCTAATAAGGTAAGTTCCCAAAGACCAAGAAAACATTTAAATTCAGAACACCTTAGGAATCAGGCTCCCTGACTTCAGACTATACTACAAAGCTACAGTAATCAAGACAGTATGGTACTGCCACAAAAACAGAAATATAGATCAGTGGAACAGCTTAGAAAGCCCAGAGAGAAACCCATGCACATATGGTCACCTTATCTTTGATAAAGGAGGGAAGAACATACAGTGGAGAAAAGAGCCTCTTCAATAAGTGGTGCTGGGAAAACTGGACAGGTACATGTAAAAGTATGAAATTAGAACACTCCCTAACACCATATACAAAAATAAGCTCAAAATGGATTAAAGACCTAAATGTAAGGCCAGAAACTATCAAACTCTTAGAGGAAAACATAGGCAGAACACTCTATGACATAAACCACAGCAAGATCCTTTTTGACCCACCTCCTAGAGAAATGGAAATAAAAACAAAAATAAACAAATGGGACCTAATGAAACTTCAAAGCTTTTGCACAGCAAAGGAAACCATAAACAAGACCAAAAGACAGCCCTCACAATGGGGGAAAATATTTGCAAATGAAGCAACTGATAAAGGATTAATCTCCAAAATTTACAAGCAGCTCATGCAGCTCAATAACAAAAAAAACCAACCCAATCCAAAAATGGGCAGAAGACCTAAATAGACATTTCTCCAAAGAAGATATACAGATTGCCAACAAACACATGAAAGAATGCTCAACATCATTAATCATTAGAGAAATGCAAATCAAAACTACAATGAGATATCATCTTACACCGGACAAAATGGCCACCATCAAAAAATCTAGAAACAAACAGTAAATGCTGGAGCGGGTATGGAGAAAAGGCAACACTCTGGCACTGCTGGTGGGAATGTAAATTGATACAGCCACTATGGAGAACAGTATGGAGGGTCCTTAAAAAACTAAGAATTACCATACGACACAGCAATCCCACTACTGGGCATATACCCTGAGAAAACCATAATTCAAAAAGAGTCATGTACCAAAATGTTCGTTGCAGCTCTATTTACAATAGCCAGGACATGGAAGCAACCTAAGTGTCCATCATCAGATGAATGGGTAAAGAAGATGTGGCACATATATACAATGAAATATTAGCCATAAAAAGAAACGAAATTTGAGTTATTTGTAGTGAGGTGGATGGACCTAGAGTCTCATACAGAGTGAAGTAAGTCAGAAAGAGAAAAATAAATACCATATGCTAACACATGTATATGGAATTGAAGAAAAAAAGGTCATGAAGACCCTAGGGGTAAGACGGGAATAAAGACACAGACCTACTAGAGAATGGACTTGAGGATATGGGGAGGGGGAAGGGTAAGCTGGGACAAAGTGAGAGAGTGGCATGGACATAAATACACTACCAAACGTAAGGTAGATAGCTAGTGGGAAGCAGCCACGTAGCACAGGGAGATCAGCTCCGTGTTTTGTGACCACCTAGAGGGGTGGGATAGGGAGGGTGGGGGGAGGGAGACCCAAGAGGGAAGAGATATGGGAACATATGTATATGTATAACTGATTCACTTTGTTATAAAGCAGAAACTAACACACCATTGTAAAGCAATTATACTCCAATAAAGATGTTAAAAAAAAAACTGACAAAAAAAAACACCTTAGGACATCAGGTTTTCCAGATTGCTAATTTAATCTATGAAAAGCTAACCAAAGGAGAAACACTGGTGCTTTATAAAAATGAAATTATAACATTTTGAAACAAATGTTACAGGTCTATAAATATTCAGTATATAGAATAACCCCTAGTCATTTGCATGTACTTTCTCAAAGCATATTTCTGTACATATACACAATGTATACAGTGGTTAATGATCTTGTCTGTTAGGAAATGTTCTTAATAAGTAAACCAGAAAACTTCAGGTGTGATTTTCACTAGCATCAGTGAGGCCACCTCAGTAGAAATCTGAAGCAGGTCCCTGACCCATAGAGAGAAGGTCAGTGTTAAGAAAGATACTTGTCATAAAGCAAAATGACACCTGTGAAGAAATGACTTGGTAATTGGAAAACAAATTTTTGAAAAATAAGTGATTTTTATGGTCAGTTATACACTATGATCTGATCATCAAAAACTCAAAACTTAGGGACTTCCCTGGTGGCGCAGTGGTTGAGAGTCCGCCTGCCGATGAAGGGGACACGGGTTCGTGCCCCGGTCCGGGAAGATCCCACGTGCCGCAGAGCGGCTGGGCCCGTGAGCCGTGGCCGCTGAGCCTGCGCGTCCGGACCCTGTGCTCCGCAACGGGAGAGGCCACAACAGTGAGGGGCCCGCGTACCGCAAAAAAAAAAAAAAAAAAAAAAACCTCAAAACAATATTCTTATCTGAGCACAGTGAAAGAAAAATACACAAATGGTAGCCAATTACTTTTTAAACTCCCAGCTGGGGTTTCTTTGCCAGAGGTAGAAAGTAATTTGCATATTGCAAGAGCAGAAGTATGCCCACCTCAGAGAGGCCCAGCACACTGATGTGTGTCTACAGCATATCCGTGACAGGACCCTCCTGACTTCCCAGGAGAGCCCTATTGAGCAGCCCTGGTCACTCCTGATTTTAAGGGTATAGATTTCAGCATAGTACTTAGATGAAGAATTGGTGTGTAAAAAAGGCAATTTAAGTACGGCTTATTTCCCTTACCAGCATTTTCACAATGAAATTCCTTTAGGCCAGCAAGTTCTTGTGATTGATTCCTACCTATTCCAGTTTCATGCAGAGCATCAGAGCTGCCACTAGCCCACCCAGCCCCCAACAAGACACAGCACCAGCAGGCAGCAGCTTGGGCTTCAGTCCCCTCCCTGCCTGTGGCTGGGGTGCCAGCACACCCCACAGCCCTCCGTCCCAGGCAGACCTGGCTGCTTAGTCACCTGTCTGCAACGTTGTGTCATCTTTTGAAGCCTCACGTATGCAAGATTTTCTGCATAATTTCAGAGGAGTTCATGGATGACTTCTGGCTAAGAATTCCTGCTAGATAGTGAAATTCAGCTGTATTTATCAGAAACCCCAGGGATACTGTGGTTATGAGGCAATGACGTCAGTTCAGAAAAAGGAACGGGCAGTTTGGTTATTATTTCTCACCTTGAAACAACATAGGTAGACTTCTTTCCATTCTTTTAAAGTGCTGTAAGACACCACCTCACAGACCTGGTGTTTTCCCTTGCCTTGATTCATTGAGTTGAGAACAAGGACATCGGAGCACCTGTGAGAGGGCTGGCCTCCCAGATACAGGAAGCTCTACAGGTGCTGATGCTGAGTAGATGCTCTTAGTTTTGAAGCTCTTCAGAGCTAGCTATGAGGACTGAAGGAAAGGAAAGCACTACAGGCTGTCCAGCTTCTCTCCACACAGACACCATTCCTTTCCAGTATAAAGCTAAGACAGAGTTGAAGGTTGCAGCGGGTGCTCAAAAATGCATGAGGAGCCAAGGAAGGGCTAAGAGCTTATACCTTATTTTCTAGGCTTTTCTCATATTAAACCTAATCTCAAAATTCTGGCTTCAAAGTTGTTTGATTCAAAGCCAAGGCTGTGACACTCCTTGCCTTCCTGCTATGAGCCGCATTCCTCTGAGCTCCATCCCACAGCTGAGCTGATCTCATATGCTCACACTGGACAGTGGTCCCACTTACGTGTCAGTGGTTACAAAGGCAGAGACTACGCTGCAGAGAAGATAATTTGTCTAGCATCTCAGAAGTCATTTAAAGGATAAGAAATACCTCCATTAACAATGTATCCATTTAAAACAGACACATACCAAAGATGACAAGAAGTAAGAAGTGTCCACTGTGGGGTTTTCTCCCAATTGCTTGAAACCATTTATAGATTTAAAACAAGCACCCTTTCAACTCTTTACCAGAATGCCTGTATGAGAAACGTGGACTCTTGTAGCTGTTCTGCTGGGGAGAAAGGAGTCTCCACCCATCCTGGACAAGAAAAGAAATTTCGAGTCTCGCCTGTGCAGCTCACAGGCCAAGGGGGAGCAGGGGTGGGCAGGGGTCTCCAGGTCACGCTCTGAGGTCTCATCCACAGCACCCGGGGGGATGAGGGTCTAAAACTCACAAATGAGCCGTTCCCTGCTGTGCTGGAGGCCGAGCTGCAGACTCCGACAGCACAGAGGCTCTGGCTGCCTGTGTGTAAGGCTTGGTGGTCGCCTCAAGCTGAGAAATCCTCTAGTGCCAGTTCAGGGAAGCCATGCACAACCACCTGCTGGGGGTGATAATGGCCAAACCCTTGGACTGCCTTTGTGACCGCCGTGGGGCTGAGCCTTCCCCCCGGCTTGCTTCAGGGAAGGAAATCGGCTTCCAGCACGTTCTGCACCTACCTAAAGCCCTCCGTTCAGCCCCAACCCTTGAAACTTGGCAGTATCCGTACAGACAAAGTAAGTCCGCAGTTCGCCTTTGCCTTTGACGTTAATCAGTCCACGGCATTCACAAGAATAACCTAGTCCCTGGAGGATGGTACATGTCTCTTCAGTAACCTGAAAAGGAAAAGAAACCTAAGTCTTCAGAAGCAGAAAGAAAATCTGCTGTGGGAGGGATGAAGAGAAATCGGCCGACGGGGTCTGGTTTCCCTCGAGCATTCTGTGGCTAGAACCCCACAGCTGACTGATGCCCAGGCTCCCTCACCTCTGGGAAGTTCTTCCCCCTTGGGCACAGGTTTCCCCAGGTGAGCTTTTACCTGGATTTTCCCAAGTTCCCCAGTGCTCTCCATTCGACTGGCAACATTGACCGTGTTTCCCCAGATGTCGTACTGAGGTTTTCGTGCCCCAATCACTCCAGCAATCACGGGCCCATGGTTTATGCCTAAAGAACATGTTAGCAGATCATAGAGGCAAAGCCTCAGGCTTATAAGGCCGCAGAATCCACCCGACAACCACAGAAAGCGTTGACGGAACAACTGCAATGAAGGTTGGAAGGGTGCTTCCTGAGTCTGACGGGAGGTGGTACTTGGGATGGGAGGAGAGCGCTCCCTGGGCAGTTCTTTTTCAGACTGTGCTGGATGTGAAACCTGAGTCCACTGTTAACACTTCTTGTATCTGCTGATCTCTTGAACAGTAAATGGGCTTTGAGCGCTGACCCTGTTAGCTAACAGTGACTACTTAGGTTAATGATTTTGCTTTGTTCTCAGTGTATTTAAGGTCACCTCTTTACAGCCAGGGATTTGGGCTTTCCAGTCCCCGTAGTGATATATTCCTGTTTACTCAAAACTTGCCAAGGTAACTTCATAAATAGTACGCAAAGAATTCTTATTACCCAGTCACTGGGGTTTTAAGATCAGAAAGGGATTTCTAAAACTTTTCATGGCAGATGACAACATACACCGGACTGAGAGTGGATTTGCCAGGAGGTGGGAGCTGCACAGTCCCACCCGGAGCTCAGGCCCAGCCCGCCTTCCCAGGGCCTCACCAACTCGGAGGCGGAAGGAGTTGAAGGAGTGCCGGTTGATGCCATCCAGCTTGCTCATCAGGGCGGTGCTGAACTCCACCATGATGCCGATGTGGGCGTGCTGCCGCTCCAGGTCCTGCAGGACAGAGCACTCCATTGGGGCCAGGGCCAATCACACCCCGTCTTCCTGCCTCCACCGGCTGTCAGACGGACGCTCCAACACCCTGACCTGCTGAGCGCTGTGTGCCAGCCTGGGCATGAAACCCATGGGGGACCACTGATGGGCAGAGATGTACCCAGGCTCCTCCACAGAGGGTCTAGGACCTGCTCCCCCACCTAAGCTCCCCTCCTGGTGAGGGGCCGCCTGCCCCAACCCCTCCACCCAAAGGCTCCCTCAGGCTGAGCCATGAGCTCCTCTGCCCTTCCCTCAAAGGAGGGGGCACGGAGAGGTGTCGGTCTGGGGCTGTCTTGAATTTCCCCTCATCTGGGGCTGGGACATGAGACCACCAGATTGCCTGGGTACCTGGTTCTCGTGCCCTGAGGGGATGCTGAGCCCTGCAGCTGCCATGTACGTGCTGCCGATGGTCTTGATCTTCTCCACACCACTGAACTTGGGCTTTAACAGCAGCTATAAGACGAAAGGAAGCAGGCCATACAACACAGCTGCAGCCCAGACCTGTCCCAGGTTCTGAGAAGGGCGTAGGATTCTCTCCCACCACCACTCCTAATGCAAACATTTCTCATGCGCGGGCCCTTCCCACCTGAGTTCACACCTCCGTACAGGTGGGGACACAGCCTCTGGGTTCTCTCCCTGCTGCTCCCTCGTCTCTGTTCCCTGACATTCCCTGTCTCTTCCATTCTCATCTGGTCTCATGCCTGCGAAGGAGCAAACACCCCACCCAACAGTATCTACACAGGAATGTCGATTATTTGCAGCTAAGAGTTAAGCCCAAACTGAGTGACTTCCTTTGAAACAGGTTGCTAGCACAGGCTTGGCAGGAAATCAGACTGTTCTACAACCTAAATCTAATAAGCAAGCTGCCCCTCACAGAGAAGATAAATTACATCGTGACAAGCAAGCAAACGTGTAGGTACTTTTTATAATTTGTGTGCCACGTGTCCTCCCCAAGGGCGCTGCAGCACACGTGTTCAGTGGGCGCAGGGTGCCCCCGGCCCCAGCCTGCCCTCTCTAGGCTGTGTGGAGGGAGGCCTCACCTCATCAAAGTCAGCTATGATCTCGTTCAACAGGCGCAGGCACTCCAGCCCTTCCTTGTTGACGTCGCACTCCGTGTAGAATACTTTGAAGTCCGGCACGGATGCAAACATGACACACACGCAGTCATAGGACTGATGGTACCAGTCCTGGATTGGGGGTGGGTAGAAACATGACCCTGTGGCCACCAGACCTCGTTGGGGCGGGTGGTGGGGGGAAGCAGACGGGAGGCGATTCGTCGCGCTCCAGGAGCAGATGCTGGCTGTACATGGGACTCAAGTGGGGGCTGTTACAAAATAGGAGATTCTGAATCAATGTGTTGGGGAGGGTCAGACTCAGGTTGGTTTGGGGCTCCTTTAAGTACCCTGGGTCTGTACAGCTGGGCTTGAGAACCCGTGTGTAGCAGAAGGTAACAGGAGGCCTGGGTTCCATGCCCACTGGGCCTGAGTTTCCATAGATAAAAAACTCTCTGCTACACAGAATTGGTAAAAATGCATGTTTTCATCAACAGATGGTCCAGATTGCAAATACCTGGACATCTGATCCTTGCAACCATCCTGCCAGCCAAGTACTATCAGCCCCATTTTATAGATGTGAAAATCAAGGCCCAGGGCAGTGAGGGATCTTGTCCACAATCACACCTGAACCCTAGTCTCCAATCCAAAGCCTGTGTTCTTACAGCTAACACCACACATGGTCTCCTGGGCGCATCAGTGAGGCCAAGAGCCATGGAAACCAAGTGCAGAAAGCACCTTGTAGCTATAGTGCGTCCCTCCACGGGACTGCATCTGTACCTTCAGTCTCCCTGTCCTAGTGACTGAGCCCCCTCTCACCCACACCTCATTTAACTTGTCACCAATGAAGTGGGCGGCCACATGGGCTGGCAGGACATTCTCTAGAAGAAGGCGGTTCACATTCTCCATGGTTTCAAACTCCTCGTGTTCCTTCTTGAACTTCTTCTTCCACAGACAGTCCAAGCGGCAGTAATAGTCAATCTGCGGACAGAAGGGAACATCGGTGTCCCGGCAGCAGTGAGCGAAGGCAGAGCGCACTCGTAACCCTGGGGGCTACGGAGCCGGCCCATCAGCACTGCAGCCTGTGCCCCTGGCAAACGTCCCCAACTCAACAGCCACTCCCCAGTCAGCCAAGTGACCCACAGGATTAAATGTCACTCGTGTCCTGATGGGAGGTAAGGACACTTGCCCAGGACCCCGACCCAGGGACCGGAGCTCCCCGAAAGCCTGCAGTCCTGTGTGCTGCTCCAAATCTGAGGCAGCCCCAGCCTCACCCCCAGCCTCTCCAGAAAGAGGTACAAGCAGCCAGGTAGAGCTAGGGACGCAGAGGGCGCCTCCTGGGCCGTACCTGTCTGGAGAGCATGATGAGAGTGGTGTAAAACAGGACCAGGTAGAAATTGATCATTGTCTTCAGATCCCATGAACAGGACGGGGAGCTGCCGGGTATGAGGGGAAAGGCAGGCGTCATCTCCACTTCTGCCAAAGCCCCCAACATTCAGGGGATGGCACGAGGCCCAGACGCAGGGCCAGCCCACGGGAAAGTGAACAAGATGGGAGATCGTTGCCCTCGGAGCTCACGTTCTCAGGGTTGGCAAACAGGACGCTTCAGGTTGTAAAGAAAAGGGGGACGTACAGTTGACAGGGAGGTGACATCTGAGCTCACACCTGGGTCTCAAGGGATATTCATGGCGAAGTCTGAAGGAAAGCACTCTAGGCAGGCAGGGGAGCGGCCACAGGCCTTGCAGGTTGGCAGAAGCAATGTGCAGGTGCAGGCCAGATCCATGGGAGCACACCTAGTTCTGGGTCCCCAGGCTCCTGCCTTTTAGTTCAAGGGGAGCCAGCCCCCGCTCCTCAATCCACTTGAGGCCCAGAGCCCCCAGAACCACGCACACGCCAGCCCCTCACATCAGTCTGGGAAGAGACCAGAGCCAACTGCTCTCTCCAGAGCTCTGCAGACCCAGGACATGGCTCAAAGCAGGGGACTGGGCCAGAGCTGAAGCCTCCGCCTCCCGCCCCCAGGCTGGCCTAGAGACAGGATCACCCAGGTGGCCTTCTGGGGCCGGGGACACCCCCTGCAAACGAGTCCCACTCAGCTCTGAGTGCTGCAGACCCAGGGCCTGAGCCCATCACTTCCCCTCCTGTAAAGCAGAAACCATGCCACCTGCCGGTCCAGCCCACAAGGTGTCCGGTCCAGAGGGGACTGTGAATGCAAAAGCACCTTACTTTGAAATGACACTAAGACGAGACAAAAAGTGCTACAATGGGCCACAGTCGAGACAGGCAGTGGGCAGGGGTCCCGGCAGTGTGGGGTCTGGGCCCCACCTGAGGGTGCCATTGGTCTTGGTGAGGTTGCCCAGGCTGTAGCCACAGCAGTCCCACTGCCAGCACGGGGAGATGTTGAAGAGCACCAGGTAGGCCACCAAGGCCACTGTCAACAGCACGACCTTCAGCTCCAAGCTCATCCGCAGGAAGACAGAGCAGGCGATGAAGGCCAGGATACAGCTGCAGGTGTAATACTGGGGAGACGGGGACGTCGGTCACCCCACCATCTCCCGTCACCAAGAGGCACCTCCCGGATCAGAGGTCACCCAAGGGATGGACACCTTTAGCCACAGAGGAATCCGTGAAGATCCAGTGTGCCTTCAGCACCACTCTCCTGCCTCACTGACCTCCCTTAACAAAGAGCAGGCAACGGAATCTAAAACTTTCTATATTGTGTTGTGCTTACTATATTTTTACTTCCACTTATGGCAAGTGAACTCAAGGAAAAAGAAACGCAGTAAATAAAAATGCAGGTGCTGGGGAGGCTGTGACAAGGTCCAGGCAGTGATCTGAGTTCTGCCATGAGCCGGTGTCTCCCAAAGTGCATCTCTGCCCACGTTACTCTCCTGCTCAAGAGCATGCTGTGGCTCCCTACTGCCCCCAGAATAAAGACCAAGCTCTTCACCCTGGCACTCATGCTCCACTGGAGCTGGATCTAACCTACCTCTGGCTTCATCTCCCAATCCTCCCCCACCCCTCCCCGTGACACGACCACCTGAAACCTACTGTGCCCACTACCTGCCTTGGTTTTTTTTCGCTGTCCCCTCTTCCAACCCCTGTCCCATAACCTTTGTGCCCTTTAGAGACCAGCTCAAATTCACCGCCACCCCCCTCAAGTCCCACAGCCCTCATCCTGTCTCGGAGGGTGCTTCAGGCACAGCTTCTGGTGTCAGCCCACCTGGGCCCAGTCCTGGCTCCGCCACCTATGAGGCAAATCCGTCGGCCTCCCCGCGACCACTCCCCCATCCATGAAGTGGAGATCATGACGAGTGTGGTCAGGAGACAACCACCAGCGCAGGGCACTCCCACCCTCTCACCTTGGACCCAGGCGCCAGCACCTGGACCCATTAGCCCCACCCGGCCCTGCTCTGTCGCCTCGCCTGGGGTGGGGGGGACTCAGCTCTTCCATGCCCATGGGCTCCGGTGCTCAGTGTGTTCTGAGCACGCAGGGACAGTCCGAGTGAGGGCACCAGGAGCCCCGAGGGACACACTCACCGGGAGGAGCTTGCACAGGGTCCTCTCCCAGCTGCCCACGGCCCCCGGGCCCGTCTCGTTCCCAGCAGGCAGCCCTGGGGCCGGGAAAGGCATCAGCGGCTACGGAAAAGACAGGTCCCCGTGAGGGGTGGTCCAGGGGCTCCAGGGTCTGCCCCGGCTGAGCGGGGCTGGGGACCCGGAGCGGGCAGAGGGCAGGGCCGGAGCCTCCGAGAGTGCCATGGGCATCTCCTGCCAGGTCTGGCTCTAAGCCTGGCCGGAGCCTCTGTGCCCCCGACGTCCCACCATAGCTGGCAGCTTCACTGTGGGAAGAGGGAGCCCAAGGAAGGCACAGGGACGCCACCCCAGCGCCTGACTCAGGGCGGGGGCAGAAGCTGGGAGCAGCGTTTTCAGTGAGCCCCCTTCTCCTCAGGTGACGCTGAGGGAGGTGGTCACAGAGTCCCTAGTGCAGGGGACACGGAGATGGGAGAGACTCTGGCTCTAAATGTCGGAGCGGGGGAGGACCGGGTGGGACAAGTGCTGTCTGAGCCCAGAACACACGAGCCCGGCCCGAGAAGCAGGGCCCAGGCGTCCCCTCCAGCTTGTGCCCAGGGCTGCTCATCCCCAGCGAGGAGACTGGGTCTCAGAGAGGCTGAGACAGGACCTCCTCAGGGGCAGGAAAGAAAGACCGGGACGTCAGGACGCCGTGGTGGCCCTGTGGGGTCAGCCACGTGAACGCTCTGGGGGCCCCCAAGTCCTCACGTGACAAACACAGCGTGAGGAGCTCAGAGCCGCCACGGGAACCTCACAGGGCTCTGGATACAGTCACACCAGATGGGCTTTTAGGCAACAGGATTATAGGATTCTAGAATCCGGAGGTCCCCAGGGTCAAAGACTGCTCCCTCCTCCCCGGAAGCGTGCAGGGCCCGAGGGGTCTTTGCCAGGCCTGCTGTTCCTGCCGCAGAACCCACCAGGTTGACGACGGCGACGGCGAGCAGGCTGCCGATGGTCAGGACGGCCAGGGACACCCGCAGCAGGGGCTGCGTCTCCACCCTCTCGGAGATGGCTCGGAGCGCGCCCCGGGCTGGGCAGCACCTCTGCGGAATCGCAGTGTCATCACCCAGCACCCACACCCAAGGTGCAGGGAGAGCCCGCAGGAGGCCTGGCCCGGGGGCCCACAGCCCAAGGGCCCAGCAGAGCGAGAGCTTCTGAGAGCTCTGCTGGGGAGTCAGGGGTGCTGTGCCCGCCCGGCCCAGAGCTCAGGACACGTGTGGTGCATAGACAGAAGGGACAGCCCCACCCTTGGGGCTGGGGACAGCCACAGCTGCTTGCGGACTACTAGCACATAGGACAGAGAGCCCTGGGAGAAGCCTCCAGACGGCGCTCCAGGCCGGAGGGGCAGGGGTCGTGGGGCCGGGGCTCGCACCACCACAGTCCCGACACCTGGGGGGCCCGGCCTGCCCACCACCCAGTCAGGGGCCTCCCCACTCACCAAGAGCTCACGGGCAAAGCACAAGCCTAGTACCAGCCCGAGCACGCAGGCTACCAGCCCAAAGGACACACCCAGAGCCGCCATCCTGGAGAGGAAGGAAAAACCTAAGTTCTGGGGGACCCTCTGCCCGGGGCCGAGCCACCGGCATGCTCCACACCCCCAGCGCCTCAGTTCACCTTCTCCCCCCTCCCAAACGGCTCCTCTGCACTCAGCCGAAGGGGCACACTGCACACCGTGGTCCAGCTGCCCCACGAACAACACACAAGGCCCGGCCGAGACACGAGGACCAAGGTCAACATCACGCCCCGCTTTCCAGGCCAAGTATACCAGAAATAACTGATCATACAGCCTTCAGACTCTTGCCCGGCACACAAGCACCATCGAAAAGCGTTCCCTATTCCGTCTTTATTAAGCACGTCCTGAACCACGATCCTAGTGGATCCTTTGGCCTAACTACCCTTCCAGAAGCCTCCAACTGGCTGACCTTCCTACCTCCCTGGGACCTCAGCCCCCTGTCCCCGCCCCCAGCAACAGAGCCCTTTTGCAGAAGCGTGAATCTCAGCGGCTCCTGTGTACTGGCCACACACCCTGGATAAGGCATTAAGCCCCCTGGGCCTCAATTTCCCACACCTAAGAGGGAGGTGGTAGCAGCTACGGTTTTAGGAGTCTGCCCTTCTAGGACTCCAAACACCTAAGGCAACAGTCACAAAACACTGAGATGCCTGAAGGGCCACACAGAAAACAGGTGACTTTGAAGGCGAGAGGCTTCTGGGAGTGGGGAGGCCTGCGGCTTGAGCGCGCAAGCATGTTCAACTAACACTAAAACTAAACGTTGGCAAATCCAGGTATGGGGGCCACGGTGCCAGGTCCAGTTTCTGGGGCTCTGACGCCTAAAGGTACTAAAGGTACTAACTCTAACAGCCAGCCCCTTCCTGCAGGTCTTCTGGTGGGATCTGCAAGGTCACCACCCCTCCTAGCCTGACCCCGGTGTGCCTGACCATCCGGCCCACCCCCCGACTGACCTGGGCATCAGCAGGGCATGGATGAGCAGGATGCAGATGAACACAAGGCTGGCACAAGCGAAGTAGTAGCGGGCCCGCGGGATGGGTGCCAGGCGGTACTGGGGGCGACAGAGACTGTGAGGGGTGGCCGGCCGGCCGAGGCCCCGCCCGCAGGGCAGGCTCCTTGCTCTGACCCCTTCCTGGGCTCCACCCTGGCTCGAGTTAATCATCTCTAAGAAAAGCCTTACACCCCCTCCTTGACTTCCTCCCCTCCTTGACTGTTACATCATCACCGAACAAACAATTTTCATCTGTTTCCATTCTGCAGTCTCTCTTTTATATTTAGAGACGCTACCTTCCCCTCCCCCACCCCGCCCAGGTCTCTGACTTCATTTCCAAGGTCCCTGTAAAGCCCGCAGCCCAAGTCCGTGGGCGAGAACCAAATGGGAGCTCTGGGGCTGCTGCGACTGGGGCTATGGGGCTTCTGTTCTCACCCCAAACCGAGGAGCACGGCCAGGCCTGAGCCCCATGCCGTCGGGCGGGGGGCCTGTGCTGCCCGCCCCGCCACACCCGGTACCACCTCAAGATCTCAGCCCACGGGGCTCCTGCCGCAGATGAGCAAACCGAGGCTCAGGGAGCCCGGCAGCCTGTCCAGGTCCCACAGCCAGCAGGTGGCCCGCCAGGCGGCTCTGCTGGTGACCACACCTGCCTCCAGACCCCAAGCTCCCCACACAGGGAGCCCCCAACTCAGGGAGACCCCCAGTCCTGGAGGCTGAAGTGGCAGAGAGGTCCCAGCACCAGAGGGCCGTGGGCTGGGTCACTCTCTCAGGCCACACCTGAGGCCAAGACGCCCCAAACCTTGGGGTCCGTGACATGGGTACCGTCGCCCACCTTGCCCTGCAGGTGAGGGCAGAATGACACACGCGTGCCTCGGACGTTGCCAGAACCAGTAGGCTCTCGAAAAATAAGCGAATGGTCACTAGTGGGACACAAGCATGGTTGTTACAGCAGCCAAAAGGGGGAACCGGTCAGGCCCCGTCAAACTGATCCTGAGTTTGGGGCTTTTTCCTAAAAAGTGCAGAGCCAAAGGTGCACGCTGGCCCCTGACAGCACTGGCTGAGGCTTGGCATCTGAAGGGAGCAAAGTCTCCCAAACCCAAGTCGGGGAACCACTAACGGGGCTGTCAGGGGCAGGGGCGAGGCCAATAAGAAGAGAACCCAAACAGGCTGCACTGAGCCCTGTCCCCACCCCAGTGGCGGCTGGAGCGACTCCCCGGCGCCCTCCCTGAGCAGACCTTCTGGGGGTGTTGGCTGCCCTGTGGCCAGCACCCGCCCCCCACCCCAGGCCTTGTTGCCCCTGTTCCTGGGGCTGCTCAGAGGTCCTCACCTCTCGCTCGAAGCCCTTCTCCAGGAAGATGGACCCAAAGGTGTAGAAGTCATCAGACTTGGAGCAGCAGGGTCTGTGGGGTGGAGACACAGGCAGTGAGAGGTGGCGCCTGGAGGAGTCGGGGGGAGGGCGTGGGGACACAGCCACTGGGCACGAGGCACAAGGCGAGCACAGGTCCCGGAGCCTCACCTCGTGGAGCTGAGGCCCTCGATGGCTGACAGCATCTCATCATCGTATGAGTCATCCTCTGACCGCCCCTTGGGGGACGCACTTCTGGAATCAGACACCCGCAACGGCATCAGCCCAGGAACCTACATCTACTTGCCCAGAGGCAGGGGTGTGGACTACATGACTCACCCAAGTGGGGTTCCCAGGTGCCTGCAGGAGGTCCCAGAGCCTCGTGCAGGATGGAGGAGGGACAGGCGGGTCCCATTGAGGCCCAGAGAGGACAAGCGAAGGCCCAGCATCACCCAGCCAGAAGCAAAGGGCAGACCCCCCAGGCCCCGGTCCAAGGTCTCTTCCACTAAACCCCAGGGTTCCATCACACCAACCCCACTGACCCCACTACAGGGTGGGTATACAACAGCCACTCGATCATTGTGAAGTTTTGGTTCCTAAAAACACTCTGACCCAAGCCATGGCGAAACCCATAGTCAGGGCTGGGCCTTGTGGAGCTGCCCTCCTGGACAGAGGCTGGTCAGGGCGGCCTGCCTGGAGGAGGTGACTGGGGCAGGACTTGGCCAGGGAGGCAGGAGACAAGGCACAAACCTGTCAGGGGTCCGGTGGCGCCGTAGGGGAATGGCCTGGAAGGGAAGGGAGGGGGAGACGGTTATTCTCCAGGACCCGGGGCCCTGATGCGCCTCACCGGACTGGGTCTATCATCTCTGGCACTCTCGGATGCAAGGACTGTCCAAGCTGCAGGCACCCAGAACTGAAACTGAACTTGGTCTGGAGAACCAGAAAGCCAGGGACATCCCCTGTCACCCCGGAGCATTCTCCAAATGCCTTCACTTCCCCAAGGGCCCCAGGAGGGAGCGAGGGAGGGCAGAGCCTGGAACCATCCTGCAGATGCGGAAAGTGAGGCTTGGCCGGAAGGACACCCTTAGCGGAAGGACACCCGTAGCATGTGCTCTCCCGCCCCTGCCCGCGGCCCCTGCTCCCAGCTCTCTGGGAGGAGAGGTCCTACCTTGGGCCTCCGCCCGTGGGGCACAGGGGTCTCGTTGCCGCTCACGTTCTCGCGTTGGTTGAGGTGTGCAAAGGGCCGCGCCGCCCCCCAGGACTCGAGGTAGCGGGTCATGCGCACGGAGGCCCGCATCTTCAGGGTCGCGTCCCCCTTGGACTTGGTGAGGTGTAGGCTGGGCGGGGGCGGCTGCTGGCTCTGCGGGCAGAGGCAGACACGGCCTGTCCCACCCCTCCCCTCTCAGCACGGGAACGGCCCGCCCCCATCCCGCTCCCCCAGAAGCGCGACGCTGCCCAGAACGCTGGCCCATCTGGCGAAAAGGGAAAATAGCAAAACAGCTGCTGGGTCTGCAGCCCCTCGGGGACTGGCGGAAGCCCAGTGCTCTCCCTGGCCGGGCACCGGGGAGGCCCCAGCTCGGGGCCCTGTCCCTGCCACAGGCACAACTGTGCACAGCCCCTCAGGCCCTTCTCTGCCTCCCCAGGGCAAGAGGTGGGGTCAGGCCCCAAGCCCGAGCTCCACTCGGCCCCTGAAGCTCCCTGGGTCTGAAAACCCATCGGCCCCTCCCGGTGGACGCACCCCAGGGAGATGGCACCCAGGGAAGAAGCCACAGGCATCCTGCCCTGCCCACCCACATGTGGCAGCACACATCGTTCGTGTGGGAGCAGCCAGGAGGAAGGGGAATGCTGGCCAACCCAGGGCTGCTCCCCACGGGGCAGCATTCCAGGGAGTTCCACTCGTACAGCCCCCAAACCACAGCATGGGTCCAGTATCTGCCACAAGCCTGCCGCGGCCATGCCAGGGACACGGTGGCTTAGCCAGGCCCTGAAGGAGGGGCCCAGCCCTGCCTCCCTCTCCCCCAACCCCCCGCCAAGAACAACAACCCGCCTGGGACCATCCTCAGCTGGCGAGGCCGGACAGGACTGGAAAAGGGGGAGGGAAGAGAAAGACCCCCGAGGCCACCAGGGACAAGCTCGGGCCATCTCGAGGCCTGTTGAGTCCCCCTCATCCCCTCACAGCCCTGCCCTGCAGGAGTCCCAGTCTCTGGCGGCTCCCACAAACACCCACACAGACCAACACCTACTGCCACAAACACTCGTTAAGCCATAGGCAGCAACTTTCCTGGAAACTTCTTGCCGCCTCCTAAGACAGAAACATTCTTAAACTCTGAGCCATGTCTGTCTGCCAGGCCAGAGGGAATGGCATGGAATTCAGTCCTTGTGAAGAGAGCCCTGGGGTCCTGAGAGTGAGCTGCGCCTTGGGGTGAGTGACCTGCCCTGGGGGTCTGGGGAGGTTACATTTCTCTGCCTCCCCCTCCACCGTCAGCAACTCTTGCCTACACAGCAGCCAGCTCTTCAAGTTCAAGGTCACTGCCACTTCTCTCTTAGGGCAGGGAAGCCAGACACTGTCCCTAAAAATTAAACGGGTCCTGATGATCCATCAATTCTGAGCAAAAACGCACCTGTTGAGAAGCAGGGCCCAGGGAGGGCACCTGCAACCTGCACCGGCCACGGGCCCCCTAGCAGCCACCTCTGGACACTCATCCCTTGGGGCACCTCACACACACGTAAGCCTACAGAAGCCAGAGCTGGGAAAGGACCTCCCCACCACGCCTCGGCGCCGTGCGTGCAGCAGTCATGAGAAGAGATGAGGGCGGTCTCTGTGCGCAGAAGGCAAGGTCTCCAAGTTATGTCGCTGGTGAAGCAAAGTTCACACTGGTGGAGGCGCTACCGCCAGCTCAGCAGAGAGGCCAGAGGAGTCTTTCCCCCTCTACTTAGATGCGCACAGACACCTCTCACCACACGGGTCCCCGTCAGGGCGGACGTGCCGGCGGCGAACAGGGATGCACGAAAAACTTTCTATAGCACACCCTTCATGCTTTTTGAATTTTCAACTATGGGAATGAATAAAATTAAACAAAGATGGGGGAAGGGAGCGTTGCCAGATAGAAGACAGGGTGCCCAGTAAACCCTGCATGAGACACTCGTACTAAAGCCTTCTCCCTTGTTCATCTGGAACACGAGTCTGACTGGGCGCCCGCGGTCATACCTGCTGATCCGGCGGCCCTGCGGGGTGGGTTACAGGACTACGCCTGCCACCACCTCGGGGTCAAGGGCTCTGCTTCACTCGTTCACAAGCTATCTGGGGCCCTGCTCTGTACCAGGCGTTGTCCTAGGACCGGGGGTTGAAGCCTGGAGTAGAGGGACCCCCACCCCGAGCCTGCCCCCGTGGAGCTCACACTGACAATAAACAGTAAAAAGGATAAACAGGAGCATTTGGGACAGAGGGCTCTGGGCGGAGGGGGCAGCAGTGACAAGGGCTCTGCAGTGGAAAGAGCCTGGCAGTGGAGGGACAGGAGGCTGGCACAGGGCGGGGGAGGAAGGAAGCGGGGGGGGGGGGGGGGGGCGGGGGGGGGGGGGGGGCCCAGAGGTGGAGGGCCCGGGGGAGGGGCTGGGTGGTTTCCACGATAGTGGGCTGGGAGCAGCCCCAAGGTACCAGGAGGGGTTCCCCCGACGCTCGCTCAGCATGGCTGACCCACCTAGGGCGCACTGGCAACGTCGGCAGGATGAAGCCCGAGGGTGTCGGGGGAGGCTCACAGGCGGGCCCGCGGCTGCCCCAGAGACTGGCAGGCGGGCCAGCCCCGAGGACAGCAAAGGCCAGAGTGAGACAGAGCTGGAAGGAGCCAGCCACTGCCGACATTCTTGAGCAAGCCCCAAGGATGATTCACCGAGGGCCCAGACGAGCTGGCCTCCCACGGGCGGGAGCGAAAGGCCCCTGCCGGCGCAGGCCCGGGGCCCACGGCCCAGAAGCAGGCTCACAGCCTTCCTCACCACGGGGTCCTGAAGGGAGTGGGGCCAACCGAGAACCTGGGCGGGTGCACGCGGCGGGTAAGAGCCCAGGACACACAGGGGCTCCTGCCTATTGGCCCCCTGGCCATTCCTTGCTTCCCTGACTCCCATCCAAAGCGTGTTTTTAAAACGTGTCTTTTGAAAATCTGGACAATTAGTGACAACCTCATGGAAAATAAACTAACAGTGACTATTGTTTCTAGAACATTTATGACGCACCCAGTTGACAGGGAGGGCTTCACTCAGATTAGCTTTTTCTCCTCTTGAGGTAGGCGCCGTTGTTATCCCCGTTTCATAGAACAGAACACTGAGGCCCAGAGAAGTTGTCCCTTGGGGCCTAGACCATGCCTAGTAATGGGGCACTGCCTCCTACCCCGGGCGGGCCCCACCTCTCCCTCCACGGGGGCCATGCCCCGGGCGTGGGCCCTGCTCCCAAGCACAGCCCCAGCGTCGCCCTCCAGCCTGCCGCAGCTGAGCCTCGTACCCGGGGGTCGATGACCAGGTAGGTGCGGATGTTCATCTCCTTCAGGTAGGGGTCCCGCTGCTGCCCGTGCCCGTCCTCCACCTCATACGCCTTGTCCAGGTGGTTCAGCGTCGCCTCTGTGATGTGCACCCGGCTGGGGGAGACGAGAGTCAGACAGCAGCAGGGCCCAGCGAGGGCAGACACCCACCCGGGGGTGCACAGCAGGCAGGGCTGAGCAGGCCGGACCCTGGGAGGGCTCCCCCCACCTTCAGGTCGCTGATTCCCTCTCTGACCCCATGCTGATACCCCACCACCGCAGCCCAGAGTCAGCCCCAGACCTGTGACCCCACCGCCATCCAGCTGAGCCTCACCCAGGGACTCCAGCTGCCTCCATCCTGTTGGCCAGGGACACGTCATGGGACCACACATCATACTGCCACTTGCGCAGCCCGATGACGCCGCACAGCACGTTCCCCGAGTGTATGCCCACACGCATGCTGATGTCCACGCCTGTGGCCTCCCGCACCTGCCTGGGGCAGAGGCCTGTCAGCCCACCCCAGCCAGGGCTGCTGGGGGGCCCTGAACCCTAGGACAGGCTCAAGGCCCCTGGTAGGGGGTGTGGCACGGGGTGGGGGCAGAGCAAGGGTGCGGGGAGCGTATGGGAACAGGGCAGGCCCAGCTCACAGAAGAGAACGTTCTCAGCCTGAGGGGGCTGCCTCCTTGCAAGGGGATGAGCCCCCCATGTCTAGGAGTGTGCAAATGAATGTGGCCGCCCCAAGCTCAAAGGCTGTTAAAAGGAGGAGGAATTCCAACTGTCACTGGTCACGGTGGCTCCTGCTGGAGGCCCTAACACACTATCACTGGGTGCTACCCCTGCCTGGCAGCCCCAGCTGGAGTCTGCAGAGGAATCCAGACACTGCCCCAAACCCAGCAGAAACAAGGAACGTGGGGCCAGCCCTGGGGGGCCTTACACACCCCCATCTCTGGGAACCGGGAGTACTGGGGATTGCCAGCACCACTTAGTACAAGGAGCCCCAACTTCAGAGTTCCCTGGGGCCCAAGGCACCCCCAACACGAGCAGGCCTCCGGGTCCCTTTGATAAGAGCGTGAGGGCCTGGGCAGCAGCCAGTGCCACGTGTCCGCCAACGGGCTAGGGATGGACCGAGCCTGCCGGGGTCAAAGCCAGTGGGAGCAGAGGGCCCCGCACAACCTCCACATGCTCCAGGGAGGGAAGTAAGCCCCAGGGCTGTGGCACCAGCCCGAGGTCACACAGGCGGTGACGCAGAGCCAGCCTGTGACCTGGACCGACTCCCTGACCGGGTTTTTTTCTGGTGAGACTTCAGGAGGACAAGCCGCAGCTGGGTTTGCGCGGAAGCTGTGCGCTGCCCGGCAGCCCAGCCGCGCCCGGCTCTGCCCCGAACGCTAGGCCGTTTGGCCAAGCCCGCCTGGCCCTCCGCCACCCGCTTGACCACCACAGACCACGGCTGCTCGGGCTCCAGAGAGCCTTGTGGGGAGCTGGGATGTTGGTGGCAAGGAGCCGCAGGAGGCTGAGGGCTAGTCCCCCAACTCTAGGGTCTTCACAGGGGGAACCAGAAGCAGACGGAGGCCTGGAGTCCAACCCTGCGTCTGCCAGCTCCCCTGCTGCTGCGAAGGCTCAGCCTCCGGAGAAACGGAGCCCAGCTGCCCGCCCTCATGGCCCTCAGCTCTGAGACTCTCTGGAACTCGGAGTCCCACTGGGCCCAGAGGGAGGGATGCAAACACACTGCTGAGTGGTCCAGGTAAGCCTCCTGCGCCCCTGGAGCCTCAGTTTCCTCATATGCAAAGCAGGGACAATGCATTCCCCAGCATGCCTTGGGGAGCAGAAGGGGCCCGCCGTGGGAACAGGCCCCAGTGCCCCAGGCTTGTGCATGGTACCTACTTAATGGCCTCACACATGTCCAGCCCCATCTTCACACAGTTGCGGGCGTGGCTGGGCAGGGACACAGGCAAGCCTGACACGCAGTAGTAGCAGTCGCCCAGGATCTTGATCCGCATGCATTCATTGGCCTGCAGGGCAAGGGGAGGCCTGGTCAGCAGATGGCCCAGGGGCCAGGGAGCAGGCATGCTGGCCACCTCCCCACACCCTCCAGAGTCAGCCAGGCTCTCTTCTGGCCAGGGCCTTTCTCCTGGGGCACCAGCCACCAGCAGCTGCCTCTGGGCCCGGCAAAAGGACGGGGAACACGGGGGGTCTGCAGGAGGAACCCCAAGCAGGTGTCAGGGATAAAAGCAAGTGTTAACCAAGGGCGGCCACCTGAGGGCCTCTAGGGAGGCACTACCTTCGTTTCATTCATCTATGCAATGTCTGAGCATCTACGGAGTGCCCTGCCCCGGCCCAGACACTGGGACACAGCAGTGAGCAAAACAGAAAACAATCCCTGCAGCCGGTGGCAGAGCTGGACACTAAGCTACATAAATAAAATCTGCAGACACCCATGATAAGTGCTATGGAGAAAAATGAGGAATAGGAAGGAAGAGGAAGTTCCCAGGAGGCCAGGAAAGGCCTCGCAGTGAAGGTAACATTCAAGCAAAGTCCTAAAGGAACTGAGGGAGCAAGCCATGCCAGGATCTGGAGCAAGAGCATCTGGGCAGAAGGAAGCAGCATGTGCAAAGGCCCTGAGGCCAGAAGGGTGTTTGAGACACAGCACAGCAGTCAGTGTGGGTGGAGTGGAGAGAGCAGGAGGGATGAGAACAGAGGTAGCAGGTGCCGTAAGCTATGGGGTCAGCAGGTGTCAAGGTGACCCAAGAGATGACTCTGCTGCTAGGGATACAGGGTTTGGGGAGTGGGGGAAGAACAGAGACGAAAGATGGGAGTGGGGAGAGAGGGTGGGGTCACGTAAAAAAAATGCCCCTGGAGGGGAAGGGGAGGCCCAGGTCGGCTGTCTGAGGTTCCATCTGAGGTGGTGCTGCAGCTACTCGACCTCCATAAGCCCTTAGCAAAGGTGGCCATACATATCAAGGCCTTGACGGTGGGGTTTTAGGGAACAGGAAGGAGAAGCTGCCTACTGGGCTCCAGTGAAGCCTTGCCCCAGCTCCCTCCTGCCTTTTCCCAGAGGGCTGGCCCCTAGAACCAGGGTACCCTCTGTCTCCAGATCCAGTGCCCACTCCCTGGCATGCCCACCAGGCCTGTGGGTGGCCACCCAGCGCCAATGACCAGGCCAGGCCCCATGCCTCCCTCGAGGTCCCCTACCCGCCAGGCCTTTGTGAGCAGTCCCCTTCCTAAGCCCTCCTGCAATGACCCATCTGAGTGTGTGCCAGCTGCTTCCCGGTGTGCTCCGTCTGGTACGTGCTGAGTTCTGAATGGCCTAACGGAGGTGGGTGAGGACAGTGCTTTCCTAGAAAGCAGCAGAAGCTTGGCGAGGGCTGGGACACCCAGGCACGGGCTCAGGGCACCGCTGCCCTTATCTTGTCTCCTCCAGAGCCAGGCGCAGGATAACAGTCTGGATCCAGCCCTGCTGTCAGGGATTTACGGAGGCCACGTTCCCCAGGCTGCTCTGCCCCGCGCCTCTGAGACTTACAAACTGGAGGAGTTGCGTGAGTGTGCTGGGACAGAAAATGCCTGAGCCCAGACGCAATGCGGACACCTCTGAGAGGAGGCCCTGGCTCTCGCCAGGAGGTTACAGTTCTGGAATCTGATTGCTGGTAGGAGAAAAGGCTGGGACCAGCTCTGCCTGCTGTGTCTGCCCAGGGACTGGACACCCTGGCCTGAAGACTGGCACCTGCCATAGCCTCCCTCTTCTCATCTATAAAATGAGGCTGCCTCCTGGGCCTGCCATGGAGAGCGGGCTGTGTCCAAAAGGGCAAGGGCAGGTCCTTGGCTTTGTGGCAGGGGAAGAGCCAGCTGTGGCTTTGCGTAGTGAGGATGGAGCCTGGGCCCACATAAGGCCCAACCTCTAGGAACCTCCACCAGAGAAATCACGAAGGAAGGAAGCTCCTAAAGGAAGGCTCCCGGCTAAACAGACCCTCAGAGTCACACAGTCTACAGTACCCAGGGGGGACAGCTCTCCAGAGCACCCCTGGCCAGTGGTGTCCAACTGTAATTTGGTTACCTCCTGTGACGGGAAGCTCATCTCCTGAGGTGGAGCCTGCTCCTGGTGAGGTAGTCCCTCCCAAGATTGAGTGCGAGGCCAGAACTTGTTCCCGTCAAGTTCTAAACCATCGATTCTCTGCACATGGAGTCACCTGGGAGGCTCTGAAAAACTCTCATGGGTGCGGGCATGGGTACTGGGGTTTTACTTAAGCTTTTCATGTGATTCAAACACGCAGCCAGGATGGAGAGCCACTGCCCTAAATCTTACACTTGGGTCTCTACTCAGTGGCTACCACTTCCAGGAAGCCTTCCTGACCACCTGAGGCTGGGCTAAATGAGCACCCCCAAGTCCTACCCCCTGTACCCCTCTTCCAACCACATAGCACGTAGCCCGGGAGCAACTTGAGGGCAGCCCAGGGCTGCTACTCAGCAGGTCCCCGGACCAGGTGGTAAATTAATGAATAACTAAGGCTCCTCCCCAGCCCCCTACACACACCCCTGGAGCTGGGTGTTGCTTGTGAAGACAAAACAGTGAGATCTCAGCTCAGTCCTCTTTGGTCTCCAGACCCTCCTGCCTTGGCCGAACCCTGGAGGCTCTCCCTGCCCAATGCCCTCCCTGCTTGCCACCTGCTATGCTCCCCAGGGTCCTGAGGTCAAATCCCGCTCCTCAACTCAGCCCTCAAGTCCTTGAATGTCTGACCCTGTGACCATGTTCCCCGCCAACACACTCTGTCCCACTCACACTGAGCCACTTTCATTGCATGGACACACAGAGCTTTCTTTCTTCTCTAGGTTTTTGCATATGCTGTTCCGTCTGCCCATAACACTGTTCCCTTTCCTCTTCAGTTTCTTTTTAGATTTCTCAAACTTTAATGTGCAGACTATTCACCCTGCGATCTTGTCAAGAGGCAGATTCTGGGTGAGGCCTGGCACCCCACAGTCCTCCCATGCTCCCAGGGGAAGCTGAGGCTGAGGCTGCTGACCTTGCGTAGTGAGGATGGAGCCGTGTCCTCCTCCAGGCAGCCTTCTGGAGTCCCCCTCTAAGCTCGTGAAGCCCAGTGCATTCCCCAGTGTGCACTGACAGTCTCCCCAGAGGCCTCACACTCTGGGGGACAGGATCCTGGCTCAACATCCACTTTGACCATGGGGCACTTGAAAGCTTTGCTGACTGAATACTAAAATTCAGCCCAGGCCTCCCCACACCCATCTCAGCACAGCGCTGGACACCGGACACGCTGTGGATGCGGTGGGAAGGGCTCCTGACTTTACCATCAGCGGAGGGGAGGCAGCACAGGTCAGTGGGCTCACCTTGGCGATCTGGTCGAACTTTCCGAAGAGCTCGTTCAGCACCACCACCAGCTCTTTTGGGGAGCAGTCGCTGGCCAGCTGCGTGAAGCCCACGATGTCAGCATAGAGGATGCTGGGGGTAGGGGGGGCCAGCAGGAAAGTCAGGGCCAAGAGCCCCTGAGCATCTGCCAGCCCTGCACCCAATCACCCCTGCGAGCCCTCTGCCGCCAGGGATTGGGAGAGAAACCCCCCACCATAAGGATGAATTAAAGTTCCAGAGGCTTCACATCAAAGCAAAATGAAACAAGCCCCAGTTTGCAGGGGCCCTCGGGAACCCCCACCCCTTTAGAGCCTCACCACAGGTGACTGAACGGAGCCCTTACAGGTGGGTTCTCGGGCACCTGGGAACTTCTCCCCTTCCCTATACCTGGATTTCACCTCTGCGCAGACTTCAGAGCTAAAGCCCTGGTAAGATGTGACTGCACGCTCCCTCCAGCTGAGCTCCACACCCAGCGCTTTCACACATCTAGTCCTCACACTGCCCTTGTAGGAACCCCATTCTACAGACGAGCAAACTGAGTCCCAGGGAGGTTAAGACTTGCTGGGAAGCCAGAGCTGCATTTTGCGCCAGATCTCCCCGCTCCTGAGTCTACAGTTCTGGACCATCCACAACCCAGAGGCAGCAGGCCAGTCTCGGGGGTAACGCTGAGCCTGCAGGCAGAGGACCAGGGTGGAGCTCACAGCGCCCACATCTGTGCTTGCTCAGGTCAGCGCCGCTGAGTAAGACTCTGCAGCCCCTTCAAATCAGTCAGAGATGGTGTCAGGACTGGGGGGTCCCTGGCGGTCACCTGGGTGGGGCTTCATCTCCTTTTGGGGGGCCTGTGCCCCTTTGAGAATCATCTGAAAAGACCCCTTTCTTCCCAACAGTCACGTTCGTGCACAGAGTTTCACAATTTTAGGGGGCAGTGGATCTCCCCCAATACTAATCTAATCTGCCCCCACCCCCTGGGGGAACAAGTGGGAGACTGAGGCCCAGGGAGGCGCCTGGATTTACCTCTCCCCAGTCCCCGTGTGGGCTGGGACCTGGGCCTACAGGTAGGAGGGCAGCGGGCCACCTGCCGGGGCCGCCCTGGGAGACACTGTGCATACGGGCCCGGCCAGCCACCCACCTGACGTTCTGGTGCCGCTTGACGTAGAGGCTGTGGAAGTTGTTGTCAGGCAGGTAGCGGCGGTCCCCGCGCTCCTTGAGCCGCTCGATGATGGCCAGCTTCATGCCCATGGAGATGTGGGCAGGCAGCACGGACAGCAGCAGGTTCTCCTGGCACGTGGGGCACAGGCAGGGCGGCGTCAGGCCCCGGGTCTCCATCCTCTCTGCCCTCCTGCCCCTCTGCCCACCACGTGCCCCATTGCTGCTGGCCTACACCCTGCTACCAACCCGGCAGGCACACACCCTCCCGTGTCCCCAGCAGCCCCCGGGATGACACCAGCACAGGTGTCTGGCCAGGTGCCCCAGGCGCCTCACCGTGCCGTTCAGTGAGCACATCCTCAGAGAAAGGATGCAGGGCGTGGGGCCCGGGGGACAGCCGGGGGGCCGGGCAGGGCCAGGCGGGTCCCACCTGCTGGCGCTTCTCGATGCGCAGCTTACGGCGGATCTGAATGCACTTCACAGTGTAGGTGAAGAGGTCTCGGGAGGCATCCTGCATCTGGTGCTTGTGGAAGGCGCCCGTGAGGTTCCCGCACAGGAAGACCACAGCGTTGGCCAGCAGCTGCGGGCGGGCCGTGGCGGGCTCAGTGTCAGGCCTGGCCCGTGCCCCAGGACACCGACCCCCTTGCTGGGCTGGTGACGGCACCCCCTCCCCGATCCCTGGCCTCCCAACCCACTCAGGCTGCAGTCTCCCTGGGGTGGGCAGGCAGGGAAACAGGTTCAGACTCACTGGTCTCCTAGACTCACTGGTCTCCTAGTAGGTCACTGTGACCCCAGGACCAGGACTCAGGCCTGTCTCAGCATCCGCCAGACACTCCCTGGTGCAGAAGGGCTCAGGCCCCAGAGACCAGAGCAGCCAGCCGCTTCCAGGGCGGCAGGAGCACAGCCCCTCACAGAGCCCGGAGCCCAGAGGGAGAGCCAAGGACAGCCACAGAAGGCACAGGGCCAGGCTGGCTGCCCAGAGCTCGGGCCCCCACCTCCCAGACCAGACACCAGGCCTGCTCAGGAGGAAAACACATCTGCACGTCACCACTAACTTCATAATCACTCAACGCAAAGGACACCAGACGCGGCGTCCGACCCTGTGCAGATGGGGCTCTGGGCTGAACGAGCGAAACCTCGGGAACAGGGCCTCACCCAGCAGTAGTGCGCTGGACCCAGGAAGGAGGCCCGAGGGTCAGGGCTCGAGGGAGGGGCTGAGCCTCCGGGGTACCCCAGGCCAGCAAAGAAAAGGCTTCAGGGCAGGGCACCTGCCGACCTGGACGAAGCCCGGCCTCGAGGCCACCCGTCGGCAAACACCTCTGTCTCCGAGGCCTCCAACTCACCCGCCCCAGCCTTGGCTGCCCTCGGCCCAAACCAAAGCCCCACCCAAGGCCTTAGCCGGCCCCGCGCGCCCAGACCCACACGCCCCTCACCTGCAGCCCTACCCGGACGCTGGGCGTGGTGAAGGCCCCCATCAGAGCGCCGAGCACCAGGAGGTGGGAGGTGCTGGAGACGACCCCGGCCACGACGGCACCCCGCGTGCTGAAGGGCAGCAGTGTGTACACCACGAAGACCACGAACAGGAAGAAGGGCACCTGCACACAGAGGCGTCGTGAGCGCGGCCACCACGCCGCCCCCGCCCGGGGCCCAGCTGGGGTCACTCCGCAGCCCCGGCTCGCGGGGATGGCCCTGGAAGCCTGAACTCTGAGGCTACGCCCCCCTCCCCGCGCCCTCGGCCCTCAGGTCGGCCCCTTCCCCACCCTGTGTGGCGAGAGGCAGCGACAGACACAGGATAGAAGGAGAAAACGACGCCCAGCCAGCATCATCCCCTACAAGCTGATTTACCACCTGGGGCTGAGGCTGCGCCTCCGCCGCCCTCGTGACCCAGCGAGCTCTCGCCTGGTGCCCACTGCCCACGGCCCTCCCTCCGCAGGAATGGTAACTACTGCCACCCCCAGCAGCCCAGCTCACCGGCCCCGCCCATGCTCTGAGCTGGCCCCTGCTGCTCCCCACCCCCCCCACCCCGCCCAACCCACCCGCTCCCACCCCTGCTGGGAACGGCACCCTCCCCCGAGCTTCCCACCTGCATGGCTTGCCCGAGCCTCACCCCACCCCAGTCACAGGACCCAGCCCCAGTGGTCAGAGCCGCCCCCCTCCCCGGTGACAATGACCGTCCAGGGCTGGGCCCATGCCCCAGGCCAGCCAGCGCAGCTCAAGCTGGTTGAGAAAGGGCCGTCTCTTTCAGCTGGCCTGGGTAGGCTGATGGACGGGCAGCCCGGAGGTGCCGCAGGCACCTCTGTCCCGAGCTGGGGGTGGCCTGACAGGGAATGAAAGAGCACAGAGGCAAGCAGAGCCGGGAGAACTCGGGACCCGGCCTCCCTGCTGAAGCCGCAGACCAAGCCCTGGGCCCCTCCCGGCACGTGAGCCACTTTGTGCCTTTGTGCCTCTTTGAGCTGGAAATGTGTCATTTCCAGAAAGAGCGCAGCCAGACATTCAAGTGGACACTCTTCTCCCACCTCACCCCCATCTCATCAGCACAGGGCTAGAGAACAAGACCAGCCCAGGGCCCATCTCAGTCACAGAACCACAGCCCGGAGAGAGGGAGGGCCCGTGGCTGGCACACCCAATGCGGCCGGTCTCCAGAAGGGATCTGATGCCCAGAGTGCACAGCTGGCTGGCAGCCCCCAGCCCCCAGGGGCGCCAGGGTCCCCTGCCCTGTTACCTGCTCCCAGTCACAGGCCTCCTTCATCCATGAGTCAAACACCAGCACGTAGCCCAGCGTCACAAGGCAGGCCCAGATGAGTACCGCCGAAGCCCTGAGCCACCGGCGGACGAGGCACTCAACATACACGAGCGCGTAGAGAGCCACAAACACGGCAAGCGTGAAGAACGCCGTCCCCAGGACAGCCTGGTGTCTGGAGGGGTCCTGGGGGGAGGGGGCGGGGGGGAGAACACACACAGAAATGCGGTAGCTTTCCCCAGCAGGGTGCCACCTCCTCCAGAAAGCCTGCCAGGTTAGCCTGTCCAGCCTGCCCTAAGCAAGGTCACTGGCTGCTTCCTCCACGTGGGTGGTGGCCATCCTCCCTCTAAACATCAAGTTCTTTCTTACCTCAGGCTTTGTGCTATTGCCTCTGCTAGGGGTGCCTTCACCACCACCTTTCCTCAGTCACCTGTGGGGCCCAGCCCTATGACGTTCTCACTCCCCACCCCTCCCCCTCAGGCGTCCCCCGGGGTCCCCAGCAGCTCTGTGCACACCTGCAGGGCACAGGTACAAGAGCACAGGAGCAAAGCTGTGCAAAGCCTCCTGGGGGAGAGGCCAGTGCTCCTAACTCATAAAGAATGAATGGATGTTTATGAGGAAATACGACCAAAGGCATCCCAGACAGGGGAAGAGCGGAAGGAAAGGTACAGAAGTGTGGCACTGTGGGGAGAAGGTAACAGGCAAGACGTTGACAGGTGGACAGCACCTGGTTTCCCCCAGAGGCCCGTAAGCTCCATGAGCACAGAGACTAATCTGGGGCCAGCACCCAGTGGGTGCTCAGTAACTATGTGCCGGATGACAAAACAAAGGCCCTGGGATTTACATCCACAGAGATACAGGCAGCACCGGCAGAGCACCTACTGGGTGCTGGCCACCTTACACATATCACCCTGTTAACAGCCTGTAGTCTCTGATGTCTTCTTCTAGAACTTTACTGTCCCATACAGCCACCACTAGCCACATTTGGCTATTCAAAATTAAATTTCCAACAATTAAAGATAAAATTGAAAATTCAGTTCCTCAGTCATACTAGCCACATTTCAAGGGCTCAACAGCCACGCAGAGGTAATGGCTAGAGCAGGACGAGGCCTAAGGCAGAGATAATATCAGTGGTGCCTGCTGTCTTAAGAAGGATTCTGAGACACACACCCCCCACCCCGGCCGGCTCCGTGAGAAAGAGTGCTGGGATTGATGCATGATGTCTGCCACGGTACTGGAAGTGGGAGCGGTGATACACAGGCCTTCAGTAAAATCAAAGTCCATTGTGGAGAAAAGTGAGGGTAATTTATTTGGCCAAATTAATGTAACATCTAAAACCAGCCCAGACTTAAAAATTAAAATAAAAAATGTGTCTTCCTCCAGCCTAAATATGCTCTGTAGCACTTTACAGATGCAGAAACTCAGGCTTTAAGAAGGTAATGACTTGCCCAAGGCCTCACAAGTACAAAGCATCAGAGCTGAGACCTGGAGCCCAGGGAAGCCCCCAACGCCCACGGGCTGCCCCCACTCACCCCGTAGCTGAAGGCGATGATGATGAGGACGGCGCAGGCAGTGATGGCCACCAACAGGAGTGTGAGTAGCAGCGGCCCATGCTGGCTGGTGAGGCGGTACTTCTCGTAGAGCGTGTCGTGGTTGGGGCCCTCCTCGCCCTCGTTGAGGAAGTAGCGCCCCTTGGCCGGCATCCTCCACCTCTGGCACACCCGCCCAGCAGTCCACGCAGGAAACCCCGCAGCCTGGGGAGCATCTGTCTGCCGACACCCACCCCTGTGCGCCTAGGCCTCTGGTTTCTCCGAGCCTGGCAGGCGGAGCTGGGCAGGAGTCCCCTCAGCCAGCAGCTCCATGGACACACGGGGCCTGCACTGCTCCAGCCGCCAGGCCTCGCTCACTGCAGAGCCCGCATCTGCTTTTGCCTCCAGGCCCGAATGAACAGACACGCAGGGTCCTCAGCTCTGCAGAGACACAAAGCAGACCAAGATTTGACCTGGACTGGGAAGGCTGGCATCGGGCGAGAGCAAGGCCAGGCCTCATAGCCCCAGGTCTGATTTATCAACCTTAACCAAACCTAACTTTTAGGTCTTTAAAGCTTGGCCCACCCCAAGGTCATAAAGCTGGTCTCCTGTGTTTCCGAGAACTGCGCGTTCCGATGCAGCAGCCACTAGCCACATGTGACTATCAAAAATTTAATTTAAGTTTATTAAAAGTGAAATTAAAAGTTCAGTCCCATATAGAGGCTACGTGGAGAAGACAAATGGTGGCAGGAGGCGGCCAAATGTACGACGTGGGCTAGTCAACAACAGTGGTACCCAGGAGAGATCCTGGAGGGCTTGTTAAAACACACATCACTGGGCTGCATCGCCAGTGTCAGTAGGACTGGAAGGGGCCTGAGAAGAAACGTGCATTTCTCACATGTTCCCAGAAGCTGCTGAAGCTGCTGGTCCACACTTTGCAAACTACTGGCCTACAGGACAAATAACCCACTATTAACCAGTCAGTACCATGAGAGAGAGTGGGGGTGTGACAGAATGAAATAAATCTAAAAGGCTTACGAACCCAATGCGATATAATGGACTTTACCTGGATTTTGATTTTTAAAAGCTGCAACTACAGAAAAAATGTTGAAACGGCTGGTGAAATCTAAATGTGAACTGAAGGTGGGATTAAGTTAATAAATGACACTTAATTTTTTTGAGTATAATAATAGCTTGATGATTACATTTAAAACATTTTGAAAGTTAAAAAAAAAAAATGTCAGCCCCTCAGCCACACCAGTCACATTTCAAGCGCTCAACAGCCACACACAGCTAGCGTTTATTACACTGGGCAGCACAGAGATAGAGCCCTTCTATTATCCAGAAACTTCTACTGGAAGGCACTGCTCTAGAAGTTTGAACAGTTTACTTTCACATGTAGGTCTCCGATCCATGTCAAGGAACTCCTGTGTATGGTGTGAGGCAGGGACCAAGCTTCTTTTTTCTGAATGGATATCTAATTACCCCACCAGCCTTTCGTGGAACCGCCATCCTTCCTTCAAGAGTTTTAGTGGACGCACCTCTGTCCTAAGTCAGGTGGCCATGCATGTGAAGTCTGTTCGCAGGCTTTCTTCTGTTCCAATGGTTCTTGTGCAAAGACCTCACTCACTCGATTACTGGAACTTCTCAGTGAGTCTTGTGTCTCAGACACTAACGCCAGCTTCACTCAGAGCATACCCCTTGCATTCATGTTATGTTAAGCTTCCACGTAAGACTGAATTTTTCTAAAAGGGCCCACTGACAAGAATTTAAGAACCTTGCAAGCTCCGCTTCATACATAAGGAAACTGCACCTCAGAGAAGAACACGGTGGACCCTTTATGACAAAGTTGAGAGCGGACCCCAGGCTTGCAATGCTTAGCCCAGAGGGGCTCCCTCTTTCCCCAGCACCATTCATTTATTTGCCCATTTGTTTATTCCCAAACAGCTCGTTAACCATGCCTAGGGCACACCAAGCCCATTATATCTCCTGTGTGTCAGGCTAGCTCTCTCTCCCCCTAGGGCTCCCAGTCTCCAGGGAGAGAAAGTTACCAAAAAAAATGTGCAATCCCTAGATGCAGCGACTGGGGCTTGGGGTGGCTGACATATTCCCAGCAGGAAGCTTGTGTCAAGGGAGCAGCCCTGGACCAGGAGTCCAGGCCCCCAACATCCTCCAGGCCTGCATCAGCGATAGGAACCAGGACAGGGCAGGGGGCAGGGAGGTGGTAAGACATGGGAAGGCTCAGGGCAGTCACAAAGGGTGCAAATGGCCACTGGTGGAAGCTGTGAAGGAAAGTTGGTCCAGAGCCCCCAAAGGCAAAATAGCAGGGCACCCAGAATCCCAGAGTCTGAGTGAAGTCCCCCAGTGAGTGCCAACTGCCTTGAGTAACCTGGGGCCACCCTGGATCGGGAGTCACCTGCGGCACTATTCCACCTGGGAGCTCCTGTTCCTCAAACCCCAGGAACAAAATGGGAAAACCACATATTTGGTGGGGGAGGAAGGGGCTGTCTGCCTGGAGTCCTGGCCCCTCTGCTCCTTCTGGGCCCAGGCAGGTGTCTACAAGCCTCGGCAACTACCTGTTTAACCCAGGCAACCCTGAGGGGGTTGGGCCAGGACCGCCAAAGTGTGCAAAGTGTTTGGACAAAAGCTACAAATCTGATTTCTACGTGAAATACTGATTTCCAACTGTTGCCAGCTGATTTCTAAACTGTGCTTGGTGCCAACAGCCAAAACGTGGAAACACCTGAATGTCCATCAACGGAGGGATGGATGAAGAAGATGTGGTGCATATGTACAATGGAATACTACTCAGCCATAAAAAAGGATGAAATAATGTCATCTGCAGCAACATGGATGCAACTAGAGATTACCATGCTAAGTGAAGTAAGTCAGAAAGACAAAGACAAATACCAAATGATATCACTTATATGTGGAATCTAAAACATGGCACAAATGAACGTATCTACAAAACAGAAACAGACTCATAGACATAGAGATCAGACTTGTAGCTGCCGGGGGAGAGGGGAGGGAGAGGGATGCACTGGAGTTTGGGCTTGGTAGATGCAAACTATTACATTTAGAAGGGATAAACAACAAGGTCCTACCGTATAGCACAGGGAACTATATCCAATCTCCTGGGATAAACCTAATGGAAAAGAACATAAATATATGTGTAACCGCCTCACTTTGCTGCACAGCAGAGATCTGCACAGCACTGTAAATCAACATTACTTCAATTTTAAAAATTTATAAAATTTGCATGGCGCAGCCCACTAGTTTGCCACCTCTAAAGCTATACTCACCAGTCTTTGTTCCACAAGAGGCATTTTTTGAGTACTAACCATATATGCCCAGCCCTGTGCTAAAGGGGTCACGAAACAAGGTAAGGTCCCTGCCCTGAGAAGCCCCCACTCCAGGGCACGTGTAAAACAGCTGCCATGCTGTCACGCCAGGTGCCTGCACATCCACCTCCACTCTCGCCTTCATAACCTGCTAAGGCCAAGGTGTTACAGCCATTTCCCAGATGCAAAACTGAACCCAGAGAGGGAGCGTGCCTTGCCTAAGACTACACAGCTGGAGCTGGCTGGTAGAAGGGCTGGGATTCAAACCTGAGTCTGCCAGCTTCCAAACCAAACCAGGGCTCCTTGGCCCAGCCTCACTGTCTTACTGAACTGAGAAAGGCTTCCCCATGGAGCTCCTTCCAGAAGCAGCAGGTCCCAGTGACTGAACCAGTTGTCAGAAGTATACACAACACTGCCTGTCCCTCCGGCCTGGTGCAAACACCAGTGCACCGGGACTGCCAGGCTGAGAAACCCCAAACTCCAAGGAGCCAAGGCAACTCCCCAGAGCTGCTCCATCCCCCAGGCAAAGCCCCCAGAGCAGAGCTGTGGGTGGCCAGGACATGCACAAGTGTGCATGTGTGTGCACATGTGCGCGCGCGCACACACACACACACACACACACACACACACCATGGAGCCTTTCACCCCCAGATGCCAACCTGCCCTTCCAGGCACACAAAGCCGGGCTGAGCCAGGCATGGAGAGAGAGGGATTAGCTGGAAGATTCCGAGAGTCTTGGGAACTCAGGCCTGGTAAACACTCCTCTTGGGGATCTAATTAGGCCACTTCCTGGGCAACGGCAGGCGGGAGAGGAGGCAGACAACGGGCAGTACTGGGCACGGAGACTAGGCCCCCCAGGGACCTCGTCCAGCTCCGGCAGAACGAGGCAGGGCTGGGAGGAAGGGCCGCACTTCTCCCTCCTGCAGACAACCCAGCACCGAGAGGCACCCGCACAGGCCAGCTCCTCTCCAGGAGGAGACCCAGAGGCCCCTCTGTCAGGGCAGGTTTCAAGTCCCCTCTGTCCAATCTCCAGTTCTTCTGCCAGTTGCCAACTCAGCTGATAACTGGGACGGCCCCACGAGGCCCTGGATGAACCCCTCTGCCAGGTCTCCAGCAAGTGTTGCCGCAAGCTCAGCTTGCAGGCCTCGGTGATGGGAAGCTCATCCCCTCTCGGGCCAGTCTTCTCCAGCACTGTGCGCTGCTCGGGCTGTAAGTCCGACCTGAGGTCAAGCCAGGCCCTGCCTCCCTGTCACTCCCTCACCCACACCCCGCGGGTCCTCTGTGAACTCCAAAGACACCAAGAGCAGAGACATCGAGGCCCTTTTACCTGGAGAGGCTGGGCTCCCAGGGCTCCCTCACCGTCACTCACACCTCACAATAACTCTGGCAGGGAGCAGCCCCATCTCACGGAGGAGGGGGACCCCGAGGGTCCAGCTGGGAGGGTGTTTCCCGCTCCTGCTGGACACGGTCCTCTCCCCCTCTCTCAGCCCTGGTTCAGGGGCCACGTGACCCAGGTCTGGCTCATCAGCGCAGTCTCTCCCAAGCCGCAGTGACTGGTTTCAAGATGCACATGTGACCAAAACCATGTCAGCGAGATTACTCTTTGGGACGTTTGCTGGCCCACGAGGAAAAGATGCTCCCTTTGCCCGCGGCCTGGAGCCGCTGGCACCACCTGAGCCACCACAGTAGACAGCCCACCTGAGAAGGAAGCCCACCCGGAGAAATGATGAGAGACAGAGCCCTGAACATACCCGCTGGGGCCGCCAGATGCAGCTCTGTCTGAGGCTCAGGCAACCCCCAGATATTTCCTCCAAGGGACAGTCAATACCCCTCCCAGCTGAAGCCAGGGTGAGCTTCCGGCACTTGCAACCGAGTCCCAAGGTCCATGTTGGGCCTCCTGCCCAGTTTGCGGTGTCCAGAAAGCCCTCGTGGCCCCTTGATGAGTCCCAGTCGGGAGAAGTTAGCGCAAAGGTGAGAGCGGGCCCCTGCAGACACAGCCAGTCCTGGCTAAGACCTCCTCTGGAGGGACGCCGGCCAGGGAGGGGAACCCTTCACCATCCCCACCCCAGCTCATACCTCTGTCACCGCGTCCCAAACTAAGCAGGGCAGCAGGGGGCCCAAGGCTGCGGGAGGAATTAGGGAGCGGAGGGATGTACTTAGGTAGAAACTGATACCGGCGGAATCAATCTCCTCCCCCAAGCGATCCTGGTGGACTCAGTTCCCCGCAGCCGCAGGGCCTGTGACTGAGCAGGACAGACCATCACAAAAGCTACTGACTGCTTACTGTGTACCCAGCACTGAAGTCTCTCTAAATGTGCACCCCTGCCCTGTAGGTGAGACTGCTGTGTCTGTTTTATGGATATGGGAGCTGAGGCAAAGAGAGATTCAGTTACTTGCCTGAGGTCACAAAGCTAGTAAAAGAGAGCTGAGATTTGAATACAGGTCACTCAGGGTCCTGCCCGTCACCCTCCCAATGCTGACATTCAAAGAGCCCATAACATCTCAAAATGTCAGCCCCTTTCTGCCCTCCCCCTTCAAGGCCCCAGACAGAGGGTGGGGGGCAAAGTGGACTCCATCAAGGTACCTCCCTCTGCCTTCCAGGGGCAAGATGAGGCAGCCATGCCAGGGAGCCTCCTCGAAGCCAGCAAGATCCAGGAGGGCCTCTTCCTCCAGGAAGCCCTCTGAACTACCCCATACACACCGTCTTCTCCCTTCCCTGCAACAAGACAGGACTGGGGTCTTCTTGCCAAATACTGACAGGCGGGGTCCAGGTTCCTCAGCTAGAAGAGCTGCTGGAGATAGGGCGCTGGAACCTCGAATTATGACTGCAGGACGGGGCCCTCAGGGGTGCTCAGGAAATCCTTCCCCAGCGGAACTGGCTGCTCTGGCAGCACCCCCAGCCCTACCACACCCCTGGGGGAGCTCTAGCCCACCCCAGCTTTCACAGACACAGACAGGATACCCACTTCCTCACCCAAGCAATACTGGCAGGAACCCAGCCTGGCTTCCTCTGGCCCTGCCCTGGCAGGCCCCAGAGCTGTACAGGGCCTGGTGGCCCCAGAAAGGGGAAGTGGGGCCTCGGGGTGTGAAGCGGGGCAGGCAGGCAGGCCTGAGGAGAGGAGAGGACCCACTCGAGCCCCTCAGGCCGGACCCTGTACCCACGCCCTGCCCAGGTGACCGTACTGCTGCAGCCAGGAACCCACCAGCACTGTCTTGCCCCCTAGGCCAGCCCAGTGCCTGGTGGGCTGGGTCACTGGCAGACATTCTGTTTGCTGAGGGCCTCATGTTAATGCCACCTCCCTCAGGAGACCCAGAGCTCTGTGAAGGAGAGCCACCAGCCCCGGCCTGGCACCTAGGGGCACCCAGAAAACCTCATGGGACTAAGGGCCTCCCCAAGCCTTAGCTCGTGCCGAGGCCTAACCTCCCTCCCCATACCATTCTCTCCTGGACATCTGCGCCCCTCGGGAGGCCTTCCGAGACGTCTATCAAACATCCCCGCAGCTGCCTCACCAAATTGCGGTGGGATTTACGTCTGTGTCCTGCAGCGAGGCCCCGGCAGAGGCTTGTGGGATGACAGATGGATGAGCCAACCAACTCGAGTCCTGAGTCAGGCAGAAAGGTGCAGAGAGCAGGCAGGGCAGCTTTGGTGAGGGGGCTGAGGGGCGGGCATTAGGGCGGAAGATGATGAAAACAGACAAAATAGTCTCCCCCAGAACCGGAAGTACCTGCTGCATCACACCTTTCCGCAGGTGAGCTGTACCTGGAGGGAGGAGGCCTGGGTTCAAATTCCAGCTCTGCTACCCTTGGCCATAGGAGTGGGCCTCAGTTTTCTCATCAGTAAACTGAGGTGCTGATACCCAAGTTCGGGGGAGAGCGAGGCACAGGTCCCACGGCCAACAGGCCAAGTTTGTGAGGACAAAATAGCAAATGCACCCAGAAGGATGGCTCAATTCCTAGAGCTGAGGAAGCCCAACCATGAGGTCCAAACAGGAGAGACAGAGGTGCACAGGGGGCAGAGCCCCTAACAACCCTCCACTTTATCTCCCCACCTCCTGGCGACAGTCTGCAAAGCCACGAGGCAGGAGCAGAAGCCGAAGCCCCCAGTAGCATATGCCCCCAGGCAGCCCTGCTCCCCAAGAACTCCCAGGCTGACTCTACCCCAGCCTCTAGGGACCACAAGCTGTCACTCAGTCTTGGGGTCTAGAGACCTGTGTTCCAGTCCCAGCTCTGCCACTAACGTGTTCTGTGACCCCTACCTGATCCGGGCCTCGGTTTTCCCTCTGCCAAAGGAGATGGTTATGTCAAACCTGTGAGGCCCAGCTCTGGGCTGGGCTAGGAACGGAGGTTAAATCATAAAACAAAGAGAACTGAGGAAAAGGTGAAAAGCCTGCGTGTTGCCATCTGGCCCCAGAGGGCTCATTCCAGGGGTGGGGTAGGGAATTGTTCTTTGCTCCTGAAATCCTCCCTTCCACTCTTCCTCTGGATTAGGCATTACCCTA